CTAAAATCATTGAAGGCAAGATTGAGGCTCTCTAGGTTTTTGAGGAGAAAAAGAGTGCTGTTCGAAGGAAAAGTGCCAGAAAGGTGACTGCAGCTGAGATCAAGGGTGATTACATGACCTGTGACATTATCACAGCTAACCCCATCCCAGGAGCAGCAGTCTACACCTTCCTTCCAAGACTCAGTCTTAGAATAATTAGCTTTAGTATCACATAAACCAGGAAAAACAGTGTAATTGATGAAAAAGGAAGCCTTGAATTGCAACAAAGCAGCAGCCTCCTCATGAGAGCAGAGATGTGTTGTTGAGAAGGAAGAAGCATGTAAAGAGGATGAAAAGGCAGTTTTAAGACGGAGGAAGAAAAATGGGAGGCAGAGTAGTGTCGAGAGCATTGTGAAAATTCCCATATCTTTGTTTGGCATAATAGAGAACTCTAGAAGAGTATATATAGAGTGTTTCAAATTGAGGTATGCTAATAATTGAAGTCATGAATTCCAAGAGCATCTTGTACTAAGGCTTCCATCTCATCATGCTCTTTCTGAATCAACATGCAATTCAGAAACCTTTTGGGGGGGAGGATTCATTTTGCACAAAAAATTGATCAAAAGAAGATAATGTACCTTTGCAAAATCCCTCTAGAGATTAACAAGTGACAGTTTGTACAATCTACACAGGGACACATAATAAAGTTGCTATTAGAAGAATTTTGCCTTGCAAAATTAATGAAGCTCTTAACACCATCACTATATTCTTTAGACAATGGTGGTTTGTTAATCCAACTTATATCCATTAGAGAAAAATTTAACTATCTGAGATTAGAAAAAGAAGTATATCAGGATGAAGTTCTTATTTACAACTGTTTAGTCACTTTAACAATATTATGACTACTAAAAGAATGCCTTTGCCAAATCATGGTTAAAACACTATCTAATCTTAATAACATAAATTTAAAGCACTTTTCTACACAGAAAAAAATTCAATGTGGTTACGAAGACAATAATATCATATATCATTTTTCCTTTATAATAAAAATTGAAATTCTAACCATTAAAATCTCACCAATCAGACTACAAAATAGACATTCATTGCCAAAAACAAGCAAAAAATAGCACAATAAAAAACAATCTTTCATTTTCTCAGTAGCCAAAAGACTAGTTACTAAAAGAATCAAAAAGAAGCAAAATAATGCAAGCTAAGCAAAATTACAAATTACCACTCAATCTCATAAACACTTTAATTTTGGATTCAACAGAAAAAATAGAAAGAAAAAACTAAAGGTAATTGAAAATAAATTTGAGTTATTGCAAAATTGATAAGACCTAAGTAATGCAATTCTAAGTTCTTAGAATGATTACCAAAAGAGAGAGGGAGATCAGAGTTGCAGAGGTCGCTGGAAAATGTCTACACTGTCACCGGAGTCGAGTAAAAATTACCAGAGCCTTGGTTGTGAGCAACACCAAACCTGGACTGAATGCACCCAATCAAAAAAACTGCATTTAATTGAACATGGAATTATAAATGAGGATAATTGGAAATGAGAAGGAAATCAGAAATGAGGATTAATCGGAAATGAGAATGAAATTGAGGAGAACCTTCAATTGGAACTTCAGAGAAATTGGAATTAGAATCGGAAATAGCTTGTGGAGAAACTCTTGGAATCGAAATGGGAATGAAATCGGGGTTGGCCTTTTGGGAAGCCCGTTCCCACAGTGCTCACTGCCCGGCTGGCCTGCCAGCGGCTGGTCAAAGACTTGGTCGGATGCGAGATCCCTTGCTTCAGCTATGACGGTAGCAGAGAGTTTAATGGACTTGAAAGGAAGTTCAGATGGGATCGGAATCGAAATTGGAATTAGAAATGGAAAGGAGCTTGTGCAGAAACTCTTGGAAAAATGCTTTCGGGTAAATGGAGAATAATAATTGTTTTCTAGACGGTTTGGGAAAATGCTTTCTGGTTCCTCCGTTGTGTTTTTTTTTTTTTTTTTCTAATTTTAGTTTAGTTTCAGATTTGACGCCGTTTCTAACCCGTGTTTTTATTTAATTAATTCCTGCACTTGCCACATAAAAAGCTGAAAGTTACTTGCGTTTTGTAAAATATTGCTATAATAAAGCAAGTAAAAATAAAAAATAATAATAATAATTACCTGGCATTTGGTGCAAACGCAAAAATTAAAAGGCAGGCAATGAGGTTTTTTTTTTGGCAGTGAGGTAAACATTAGAACATAATGATATTTGATTTGCCATGAAGAGTATTAAAAAAGGTAAAATATAAAAATAATGCTCACTGATGAGTAAGAAAATGATGCTCATAAATAAGTTAATACTTGTATAAGAAGTAATATTCGACTCACATTTATCAGTAATTTAATTAAATGCTAATAAAAATTGTTGTTTTAGAAAGAAAATGTTGAAGCATGGAGCCGCAGCAAATGAAGTGCCCACTACAAAGCTGCTGGGTTGTTGGATTTGATGGAGGCAGTAGGAAATGTAGGGTTAGGATCTTTGTATCGCCACAGCATGGCTAATGTAGCAGCAGTAGTGGTCAAGAAGATGAGGCAAAAATGCCTACTGTAGAAAACATTCCAGAATGTATGATCTGAAGTAAATCTTTCTAAGATGCAACGACGGTGCTTTACCTGTCTTTCCATTTAGGATGGTCTAGGTAAGTTTCTTTCTTTCCCTTCTTTATTATTATTATTATTTATTAGTCTTTTTGTTTTCTTGATTGGCCGTAAGTTTCCATTTTTCAAAAGGTTGGTTTTTCGAGATGAGTAGGGGGCAACGGCAAGTACAAAAGAAAGAAAATGCTTCATTCTTAATTATAACTCATTAAACAATAACTCTGTGAAATAATTTTTTTAAGAATTTAAATAAATGTCTTATTTATACTTAAAATAAATTATTCAATTGAATTACTAATATCTCCATAGTGGGTGAAATCCTTTGTTAAAATAGAAAACTAAAATCACATTTTATAAGTATTAATAAATGAGTGAGTTTTTTAACATTATTAGTATTTTTTTTACCAATAATTAAAAATAATATAGTTCATATGGCACATGTTACACTTCAATACTTTTTTGTTAAAAATTCAAGATGTTCATGGGTACAAAACTTCCACAGAAGTAAAAAGAAGAAAATGAGAAATTCATGAAAGGTCATGGGGTTAGAAATGGCAAAATTTCATTTTTCAGATGTTCATACACTTGTATAGTGACACAGCAAATTCTTTTTATTGCCAAAAAGACAACAAAATATACTTCATCTTCTACCATATAGCTTAAGAATTGAGACAGCATTACAAAGCACAAAGAGAGAACTCGTTGATTTTATGAAAAAACAGAGATACTACAATAGGAGACAGAAGGCATCCAAAACCAAAGCATTGAATCAAAAGAGTAATATTTTTTTAGGAAACACTAATTTAGAAGGTCTAAAACATCAACTCTGCAACTGGTTTCTTCTTTGAACATGTCTTCTGGCTTTCTTCATCTTCCTTCCATTTTGGTTTGGTTGTCCATCAAACAAAGTCACAAACCATTTTGGTTTTCCAGTTCGAAAGGCAAGATAACCCATCAATAATCCAAATACCAATCCACAACCATGGCCTAACAAGACAACTCTCCAGCCAAATCCCCACAACTCATCTTCTTTGTGGAAGGAGCCTGGTGGTTGGTCCTTTGTCCCATCTCCATCACAAGATTTCGACAGTGAAAATCCACACAATCCAAAGTTTCCTTCATAGGAATCGTTACTAAAAGTGTTGAATTGTTTTCCCCGTGGTATGAGTCCGACAAGTCGATTATTTGAAAGATTCGGCACCGAAAGTTGTGTTCAAGATATCAATTCCTCTGGAATTTCATCAACTAGCTTATTGGAAGAGAGATCCAACCATTCAAGACTTGTCAAATTCCCAAGTGACGATCAGATTCCACAAAGATTCAGCAGAGATAAGTTTTAACACTCACTTAATACCCGATGGGGTCAAAAAAATCCAAATAAAAGTTAGGGTTTATCAAAAAAAAAAAAAAAGTAATGCAAGAAATTTTATTAACTAAAATGGTTCAATTTTAATAGAGTACACAACATTCCCTAAATTGTCAACATAAGCCATGATTGTAATCTACAATTGGATAATATTCTTGAATTATAAACATAACTCATAAAATTTCAAATCAAATCAATCTAGCAAAGGTTTACCTAGGCACTGTTCTTGACGTGGCTAATTGTTCCGAGACGACTTAAAACAAAGCATATATGTTAGCACAGAGGGCAGGGGAATGATAATTGATACAGAGTGTGTTTTATGCTTGCATGCTGAAGAATCCTGCAGTTGTCTTTACTTCAAATGTGAATGAAGTAAGAAAATAGGGAAGGATATACTTTTGAAGCAATTATAAGTAGAAATCCTTTGAGTTGGTCATTGGAATGGGAGCAAAGGACCCAAAAGGTAGAGGAAGGATGGCTTTGACTCTTAAGGCTTCGTCTCTCGCAGCCATGGTTTATTTCATATGGCAGGAAAAAGAGGGAAGAGTTTTAAAAAATGAGAGTAAAGCTACAATTCTGCACCTAGTTGCAGTTAGTCTCTCAGCTACTTAGTTGAGTTATATTAATGCTTTTTCATTAAATTTCTGTAAACCTGAAAAGCACGGGTGAAAGCCTTGTGGGGAATTTTGGATTAATGGAGTAAGCTTACCATTCTCTTAGAAAAGTGTTTTAGGATTCATCCACTGGTCCAGTTAAATAACCAACAAGAAAGGATGTCATAGAATACACAAATCAAAACCAACTAGAAAAAGAGTGATGATGTGAATATTGTGCTAAGCACACAGAAAGAAGTCTACCGGGCAGATCATGCTAGAGGACAGGTTCAAATGCAAAATATTAGTTTAATTATAAAACAACATTCAAAGTATGCAAACGCTGCAATTGGCAATTAGGTCTTTAAAATTCAAGAAACTATGAGGTCCATGAAAAGTGAACAAGTTAAGTTGAACAAATTAGAGGAAGAAACTCAAATGGATAAATAGCGAAAACAAAGAGTACAAAATCAATGAACTAGACAAGGGAGGAAGCTGTAGGTTCATTGACTTCTTTGCACCAAATGTCATAAATCTGACACCCAATCCCCTAAGCAGCCCTCCTCCATCCGTGGATTGCAGTAAAAATTATTCAAATTCAGTGATCGAAATCTAAACCGTATCATAAACTAGTCAGTGGTACTGGAAACTGTATTATTTGTCCATCTATGATATACTCCCAATAACTTTGAAAATATCCATTTTCTTCCAAAAGTATCAATTCCCTAAACACCAAAAAATTGAAGGCAAAGCAAGAATTCAAAAATCAATAACCAAGTTTGACAAAATCTTTATCCCTACAAACATAAATCAAAGAACCTAAGGGTAGCAGCAAAGAGAGCAAAGGCTCAGACTTGAAACAGAGGACAGAGGA